ATGAAAGCCTCAACGCCTGCATGAAGCTTAACCTCACCAAGTACCAACCAGACTACAAAGCCATCAGCAAATCCATGCAGCACCAGAAGTCGCATTAATGGTGAGTATTATAACAACATTATTTAAAAGAATAAATTCAGAGGCTTATTATACTCACATTTAGTTGAATTCAGTCTTAAAATATATTATATGGCTCTCACTGAAATAAATTTCCAAATATTTTGCTTTCATGGCTCTCTGAGTCAAAAAGGTTCCCGACCCCTGCTTTAAAGAATGAACTGTTAAACTTATGTAAAGGCACTCAAGACTTGGGTGTTTGGTTGTGCATTTAAGTAATCAGATCTAATTTGCCAAATAGTCACTGTTGAATGTTTTTATGTTGAATGTTTTTATATTGTGTAAATGCTATTTTAGATTGTAAGTCGCTCGGAGATTGTAAGTTGCTCGGAGAGTGACTAATTAAGAAATAAAGTGAAGTGAAGTGATCTGTGCAGCCTTGTCACACTTCTTGGAAATCTAAAAAAAAAAGCCCCTCTGTTACCATAAACGGCAGTGTTGGCCAATGATGGAGAGAACTGCTTCTTAAACTGTGGTCTACACCCCAAATGGGGTTCCCTTAGCTCAATGTTGGTGTCCCAAAAATTTGGCAAGAGTAAAAGACTTCTGAACACCACCCATTTACATAACTCTGTTAGCAACAGCCTATGGTGTTTACAATGGACTCTGCAGAAGATGCTTCAGTTGTACTCCTCAAAAAGGAAAATCAGCCTTTTTAGCAAGCTTTACAAATGAAGATTTATTATTAGTAAATGTTTGATTTGTATACTTATTTTGTTGAAATTACAACCTTCTTCAAGCCTCCTCTAGTAATTAGTTTGTATATAATCCTGTTGCTTACTTATTGTTCTGGAATGTAGCTTTCTTTCCTTTGCTCTCTGTTTCTTGAGAAATTGTGGGAGGGGCTGCAGACGACATGATCTGTTCTGAGACTGCTCAGACCTCAGACTCCATTTTGGACTTCAGACTCTATTAGACTCTATTAGACTTTGGGACTGCTCAGATTGACACTTGCCTGCTGTTGATTGTTGATTGTGCCATCTGCTCACAGAAACTATCTCAAACATATCTATAACTTGATTAATAAGCTATGTGCCTGTGTATGCTAAACGCATGAAGTTGTGAGTAAACCAGTCTACTTCAATTTTGTTTCTTGAGTGCATGATATAAAACAAGTTATTTTATGGGAGTGTAGATATATTTTTGGACATTGAAAAGCACTTCTAAAGCCTTGCTATTTTGTGCAATAGCAAAACCTCTTGTTTCCTAACAGATCAGAGAAAATGGGTTATCAGTTTAACAACTCAAGCCAAATTGCCTAGCATAATTATATCTGGTTGTATACCACAAGAGAAGTTTCTACTCAAAAGGGTTTTTGGCTCTTCTCTGAAAGGTCATGCTTTTCCAAAAGGATGTGAAGGAATAACTGGTTTTAGAGGCCTCTGATCACTACTAGCTGCTAGATGAGGTGGGGGAGATTTCTTATATTTTTAACGTATCACCAACATATCAAACACCTCTTTCTCTGTCTGGCTGCTGTCTGTCCTGGAAAGATCTTGCTGGATTTGTCATCTTATTCAGGGAAAAAAACATTCTCTTACGTTCTTTTTAAAAAGACTAGTAGAAGTAAAGGTTTCCCCTTGACATTAAGTCTAGTCGAGTCTGACTCTGGAGGGTTGTGCTCATCTTTATTTCTAAGCCAAAGAGCTGGCATTGTCCATAGACGCCTCCTAGGTCATGTGACCAGCATGACTGCATGGAGCACCATTACCTTCCCGCCTAAGTGGCACCTACTGATCTACTTACATTTGCATGTTTTTGAACTGCTAGGTTGGCAGAAGCTGGGACTAACAATGGGAGCACATCCCATCCCACAGATTAAAACCATGGATCTTAGGGTCAGCAAGATCTGCAGCTTAGCGGTTTAACCCACTGTGGCCAATTTTATACACTATATCTCTAATAATTTTGTGTATGAAATAGTTTATGTGTATTGAACCATCAGAAAGCAAAGGTGTCACTCTCTGAGTTATCAATTTGAACAATTTTGGAGTATTTGGATTTTGGAATTCCAGGTAAGGGGTTTTGAAAAATTATGAAAAATGTACACATCTGAAGAAATTGATAGGTGTTTTCCATAATCGCAACTGTAAATGACTTTTAAGAATGTTTAGATTGAGCATGATGAATGGTTTCAACACAATCACCTCTACAGTATTCATAAGTAGAGGCTGAGTTTCCCTTATCCAAAATGCTTGGGACCAGAAGTGTTTTGATTTCAGATTTTGAAATACTTCTATCTGCATGTATACACTTCATGAGAAATTTTGGAAATGGGACCCAATTCTAAACACATTTTCATGTCATACATAATCATCATCATCATCACACCCTAGTTTCCTCTCTTAAACAAGACACAAAGCTTTTCACAACATTAAAAACAATGTAACTTAATGCTTGTAACATATAAATATTAAAACAGAATTAAACGTAGAATTGTCAAAACAAATAAGTTTAAATCACCTAAAACCATTAAATAATAAAACCATTAAAACCTTATACAGACCTTGACCCATTTTAAAGCTTTCTGCTTTAAAATCTACCTAAATGAAATATTTTAGCCTATAAAAGGTTGAGATCTATACAACAGTTTTAATTTTCTGCTTGAAACAAAGTTTTAAGACACTGAACCATCAAAAAGCAAAGATACTTCTATCTCATTTTCTGGATTTTAAAAAAATTGGAGTATTTCTGATTTCAGAGTATTAGATAAGTGATGTCCAACCTAGTATACAATCCTAGTATAATTCAGTGTATAGTGCTGTACAAAATAATTTGTTTTCCAGGGGCTATTTGGATGTTTAATAGGAAGTAATTTCCCGAGCTATCTTTGGATGTTTGCTCTTCACTAAGAGTGAAGAACACTTTCCCCCTTTTTTGGGTAAAAAAGGGGGTGCGACTATTACATGAGGAAAATTGTTTTCAGTGCACACACCTGCCGGGGAGAGCTATGAGACCTCTCTAAGCTACCTGCTGGAGAGAGCTGCGAGGCCTCCGTCAGCTAGTAGCACACACATGTCTGCCCCTCATGTCTGGGAAGCCCAGTAGCCCCAAGGGGCAGGCACACAGACAGGAGGTGTGACTATTATGCAAGGTATCATAAAATACCAAAATTAGGACCCCCAGAAAGGGTTATGCAATGGTGGCTATTGGGCAATGAAATATGATATGTCCTGGAATTACATATATGATATAAAGTCAAAGTCCTTTAATTTCACTTCTTTTAGCATGTATAAAAGTTCACACAAGTTCAGACGTGACATAATCTTAACAGTCTGAAAGACATTAATGGATAGATACTGGCTTTTAGGAAAATAACATTCTCTGTAAATGCACTTGAATAATGGAAATTGTTGGGTAGAAAAATTACAGGAATCTACAATGCTGAAAAAGATGTATATTTCTAAGAATTGTTTGGAGCTTAATTTCATGTCTCAGAAGGGGTACTTCTACTAAATGACCTGAGCATTTAAGCCAGGCATGGGCAAACTTTAGCCCTATAGGTATTTTGGCCTCCAACTCCCAGAAATTCCAGCCAGCTTACTGGATGTTTGGAACTGTGGGAGTTGAAGTCCAAAATACCTGAAGGGCCGAAGTTTGCCCATGCCTGAGTTTATCAGTTATTGCATAGTAATACTTGCTGTAGATGCTGTAATATGATCACAATTCAGTTTTCAGGCAAAGGTAATCTCACCTATGATCTGTCTGGAACATACTATATAAATTTTCTTGAAAGGATAAAAGTAATTGTAATGGTTACAGATGTGTACAGTACAAAATGAGTGGTTGCAATATGTTGGATTATTTATTTTAAGACTTGGTGATCTGTATTTGGGGTGAAGGATTAAAACACAACTGATTAAGTAAACAATAAAGTTTATATAATGCTTCCAGCTCATTGTATGGCAGTCATTCCTGTTGGCACCATTTATCATTTATGCAGTTAATCTGAAAAGTGAATTATAGTCTTAAGTCATAACAGCTGTGTCAGCTTTCACCAGCCTTAGGAAGTTTGCCAGAAAGATACACAAAAAGAATTACAGTTAGGATCAAGTTAACCCAAAATACCATGGACCAGGAAAATCTGTACGACTTGGGTTTACGTTCATTATAAAACAATTGTATTCTTCTATATAGAAAGTTTGTTCATAGCCATATTAACCAACTCACTGACACAGTTCTTTCAGCCCTCTCTAAAAAAACTTTCCCCCTTACCTCCCGAAACCCACTAATCAGACTCTACTTTGGTTCAATCACATCATTTTCTATTTTCTCAAAGTTATAAACTGCACTTACAACAGGTTTTCTATATCACTAATGTAATTAAAAGAATTGGGAGTATGTGAAGTACTATATGAGTGTATGAGTACTCATGTATAATTTTTAAAAATGCCAAATAATTGACCCAAAAATCCTGGGTCAATTTACCAATGGGTCAGTGTAACCAATGTATCTCAACTGCTATTGAAAGAAAGAAAGAAAGAACGATTTCTCTTCCCGAGCAATGTTCAAAGGAGAGATTTTAGTCTGTCCCAGAAGAATCTAAAAGAAGCACCTACTCCCTTCATCTCTTTGACTTTTTGAATATCTGGGCAGAAAAATATTGACAATGGCAGCCAGAGACAGTATGCCCCCTAAAGCTGTGTGAACTTTCCCCCTCTCTGCAGAATGACTTTTGATTTATACAGGTTCTCAAACCTGACATCAATTTATACATAAGGTTGAATTATGCATGAGTATATATGGCAGATGAAAGCTTTAGCTTTGACAGAAATTTGCTAAAAAAACAATTAAAACAAAAACTATCCATATAGTATGATTAACTAAAAAACACACACAGTGAAAATATAACACGGTAAAGATAAATGGTTCTATTTTCTCACCTGTGGTAGGTGTAACTGCAATCCTTCACTAGGAATAGGCTGGTGAGAAGGAGTTTGATCCAGTTGCATGTTAAACAAGGATGCCAGCGCTGACTGAGCTGCCCGGGCCTTGGCAAGTTTTTTGTTTCTTCCAGACCCTTCAAATGTGTGTCCATCCACTGACACAGCCATCACAAAATTCTTAGCATGGCTTTCTCCGCTTTCTGAAAGAAAGTCATACTTCAGCCCCGGCCGGAGTTCATTCAGTATCATGACTGGATTCTTTCCGCTCGTTGATGGGTACGGTGATGGGGCAGGGAGAGAGGACTGACTAAGGCTACTAACCCCAGCAGATGATAAGCCATAATCGGAAGTGGAGCTAAAGGAACCATCTCCATTGGAATCCAAATAAAAGGAATGATCTGGGTGAGCTGGGTTTTCAAAGCCATTGAAGAGCGTGTCTGGGAAATCTGCCTGGTCAGAGGTGAAGTCTGTATTAACGGAAAGAGTTCTCCCCATTGCTAGGTGTGCTTCAGAGGCATTTGGGAACTGAACAAAGGACCTCAGAGCCTTCTCCGCAGCATGGAGCTTCGCTTTCTTCTTTGTAGGGCCAGAGCCTTCAAATGCCTGCCCATTCACTTCAACTGCCATCACAAAAATAGGAGCATGAACTGGCCCTGTCTGGGAAATCAGCTTGTACTGCAATCCAGGCTTGATCTCATTCAGTTGCATCAGGGCGTTCTTGGGCAGGACGGGGCCAGGTGTTTTCTTCCTCTTCTTTGGGCGGAACTTGGAGTGGCCATTGTTCCCCTCTTCCAAAGGTCGCTTCCTGCTGCCAGAGCCACCACCATTGGAGAGCTGATTTCCCTCCCCGATACCTTGCACACTCCCATCTTTAGATGAAATGTTGTCCATGTTGCGGTTCTCTTTAACATCAGTGCTGCCTGAACCTGTGGTGCCCAGAAAGAGTAACTTACAATGCCTTCGTTGCAGGACCTTGTAAATGTAAAATTTACAGATTCCTTTATCTATCTTTGCAACTGGTTAAGTGATGTGTGCTTACATTTTTAGATCTGTATTCAATATATTACTAATTATAGATCATACATCCCAAAAAGACACATTGATGAAGTATTTAGATAATACTTGATACTTAGATGTGATTATAATTTAGCACTCAGGAACAGCTGAATTAATATACTACATTATCTCCATCATTCTGAAATGAAAACTAACCAAAAAGTATGAGAAAACAGTGCAACCTCCCATTTTATTCATTTAATATTTGATTACCCTCAAGCACCTGAATCCAGATGACAGCCTCATAGGTCTACTTCTGTACCAGGCATATACTCGTATGTATTCAAGGAGGAGTATTTGTTCCTTCAAAGATCTGCCCATTAACTTCAACAACCATCAAGAAAATGGAGTTTGAACTAGCATTAACCATTCTAGTGTTATTTCCTAGAATAAACTCATGTTCACTTTATACATAAGTGGAAGAATGACCATGCATGCTAGGCATGCCTTCTAAGTTGACCAGCCACTGCCATCAGAATCACTACACATGGGCACTTGGCTTTAGTTTGTAAGTGCCAGATGATTGCGACATATGCCAGGAGTATACACTGACTATTCCATTCAAGTGGGGTCGCTGGTTAATTCTTGCTCTGCACACTAATTGTGAAGGAGGGAGTAAAGGGTGCCCTGATATTTGGTTGAGAGGAAACAACCAGCAAGTCCAAATCGACTTTTCATGCATTTGATGAATATGCAAGGCAGGTTCATTTGAATACCACCCCAATTTTTTCTTATTAAGCAGCAGCGACCAGTTATATATCATACCTCTATTTAATGTGTGAGGGTTTTCTAAATATACAGGCAGTTCCTCATAGTTAAGAACGGAGGTGAGACAACAGGAAGTGAGAGAAATCTGCCCCTGGGAAGGGAAATTAACTCCTGGAAGAGTTATCATGGGGGAAAGGTGTCTCCACTGAAGCTTTCTCACCCATCCTTGTTTCCACAACAAGCAATTTTTTTTGTCAAAATCCAATTAACACAAGGACAGAAAATGAGATGAAATCTTCTGAACAGGGGCACAGACAGTAAAAAAAACAACCAAAAACAAAAACAAAACAATCAAACAAAATACCAGAGGAGTGAGTGCTCACCCTTCCCTATGCTATCCAAAGCTTTTTAAAAAAAATAATGGCTGGAGTTACACTTTTAAAAGTACCTGTTCCGACTTACATACAAATTCAACTTCAGAACAAACCTACAGAACTTATTTTATTCAAAACTTTGGGACTGTCTTTATGTCTTTAAAATATAAAGTTTTGAATTTTCAGTTGCTATATTATTTTTATGTTCCCAAACATCAAACAGTCTAACAAATTCCCCATGTCCTTCAACTATAGTCATCTATTGGACTTAAAACAAATCTCTTTCTATACTGTGACATTCAACATCTATCTATGGATGCTGAAGATACCAAACTGAGAGAGAAGGCAGGGTAGCAGACCATCTTCCCCCAATAATAGAGAAGACTTTGCGGGAAAATCCAGGAGTTGTCTCAGGCTCTCTGAAAAACTGCTAGAGGAAAAAACTGAATATGTATGTGTAATTCATATCACTGGGCACTATTCCTAGCAAAAAGATGGTATTTTTCTGACAGTTGGCCTGGAGCCCCGTGGGTTCACAAAGACCTGATTCCTTTGGCCCACTCATTGCAACCCAATTGCTTCAGTGAGTTAGAATATATGTAAAATATAGAGTTACTAGCTTGAGTACCCGACAGTGCCCGGGTTATTTGAAAAAGGCATTGTTTGTTTTGGGGTGTTAGGTAATATCATTTAGTTAATTAGTAACACTATTTATTAGAAAAATGCCAGTTTTTGATTTGACTTTTTCTGAATGCTCCCATTCAAAAATGCATAAGGATGCGGGTGAACTACAATTCCCAGAATCATGGATCAATCCTCCCCAAACCAAGCCAGTATGCAGTTGGCCATGTTGGGTGTGTGTGTGCCAAGTTTGGTCCAGATCTGTTGTGGGCTGGGTTTAGTGCTCTCTGGGTAAGGGTGAACTACAACTCCCATATGCCAAAGACAGTCCAGGTCCTTTTTCGAAGGGGGTCTTGATGCAGGGTGAACTACAACTTCCATCCTGTTGAATCAGTCCCCCAAACACCTCTAGTCTGTTCAGTTGCTGATAAATTCTTCTGTGTTTGCCGTGTGCCATAGAAAAGGGTAGGAAAGGGTTAAGGGAGAGGCAGTGGGCAGTCATGCAAATTCCACACAAGGAACCTTGGGGTGCCTGCCTATGGTGGAGGAAACACGTCAAATCTAGGATGTAATTCTCCCCGAATGAAAGCATTCCTTGGGTGGTGGGTCGTAGTGTTTGGGGCGGACATGTTCATGGCAATCACTATAACCTGCAATGTCAGTTGAGGGAGTGCCTTTGGAGGCTTCTCAGCACTTGGAACTATAGCCTGTTTGTGTTGGCTGGCGGCTGTCTGTGTAAGTGGACACCTCCGCCACATACACATTTTTCACTTTTATTATGTGTACAGAGATAGTACCTCTATTGTTTCATCTCTGATCGGGCATGGTATTATGGGAAGAACACATGGTGTAGTAAGACTAATGAAACACACTAAACTGTAGCAATGCTCATTATATATTCACAACAACATAAATGGAAACAGAATCACTATTCTAGGATAGTTCTGTTATTCTATATGTTATAATGAGATAGACACACTGGAGTTGCTAGAACATAGTGGAAGTAAAATAGCATCTACATAAATGATACAGAAGATAATCCGCCTGCAAAAAGAAAAAAGAATTCCTACAGACCAATACTTATTTCCAAAATTGTAGTTCCTATTAATATTACTAATGGCTAGAATTGTTTTAATAATGTCAAAACACAAAAATAATAGGGAGTTGGACACAGTGAATGAAGCTACTAAGAATAGCCTATTTCTGGGAAATAGTAAAGAAATGGTTAGTGAAAATCATTTTGGGCCAGCTGAACTGTGAGTAGATCTATTTCGACATAGCCTCATTTTCACTTTCAGCTGTCCTTCCAATGATGAGATAGCTTTTCCAAAAGAAAAATCCTTTCAACATTTACAAATAAGTGCACAAATGCATGCTGATCCATGCATCATTACACTGTGGTAAAGAACACCACACTCCTTTCATTAGGAAATGCTTAAGACAACAGTGTCAATACTTTAGCAAACGAAATATTTGACCACTAAAATCATTTAAAAGGAAAAACATAGAAAGGTTCTAATACGCAATGGCATAAATGGATTCAACATTTAAGACAGATGGCCAACAGATGTAAACAGAGAACCAGGAACGGAAGTGAAAGGCAAGTGATGGGGTGAAGGGATATATCTGAGGAACAGCTGGCACTCCCAGATGTTTAAGGATTTTAAGGCTTGGTGCAAGGAAAACATTCTTGAAAGGAACTCTGCTACATTCAGAGCCATGAAGGATCTTCATACCAAGGGAGATCTTTGTCAAGCAGCAGAACACTGAGATTGGAAAGCTGTACAAAACTGACATCCCTGCCCACCCCAGACGGATTGGTAAAGATGCCAACTGACTGCAGGGATAGAAGTCATTTTCAAGTGGACTTCTCAATCCTGTCATGTATCTTTCCTTTGGGACAGCAAAGAAGAGAAACTCCAGAATGAGGAAAGAAAAGGAGCAACAACTAAGCTGTCTTCTTCCTGGAAGAGGTCTGCATGACCTTATATGCATATATACTCCAAACATTGTAGTGTTGGAATGTTGTTTATAAACTTACATATAATAAAACTACAAAAACAAAAAGTGGTTGTCCATCTAAAGAAAAGAAGCAGTGCTAAGAGTGCAAAGCAAGAGTAGCTTCCAGACACAGTTCCTACAGGGCAATCCCGCTGTCCTCAATTGTGCAATCTTACATGTCACCTAGGTGGAACCTTCCTACTTGTTGCCAGCAATTTGTCCATCTTTACCTTACCAGAAAAAAATCATAAAGAAGGAAAGAAAGAATGAACTGCACCTTTTGACTAACTGGATCTGTCTTCTAGAAGCACCTCTAAGAAAATAGGAGTTTGTGATGGTGAGTAAACAGAGAACTTGGAGCTAAGGGAGTGGGCAAGTACAGTTTTCATGTGGAAAGACTGAGGATTCTGGAAAAAGTTGTAACCGTGGATTAGCTAAGTCACTTGAATACTTTCAATCTATATAAAACTGAGAAACTTTTCCATTCTTCTCTCAAACTAGATCAAAAGATTTGGTGTACTTTTTGAGGACAAGAACACTCCCTGTTAGGCATACCTGGATAGGGAAGAGAGGGTAGGAGGGAAGAAACAACCAGGTGTCAGTATCTAGCACTATGACAATTTCTAAGCCTGACATCATCTACCAGTCCCCACCAAAGCTAATGCCTTCCTTTGCCTGGCATCCCAATATTTAATACCATCCCGACCCCCAACACTGATTACCTTTTTCTGGTCATCAGGCTTCCACTCCTGTTTACCAGAAACCAAATAGTTTCTCAGCTCACCACCAAAACACAGGACAGAGAAGCCCAAGAACATAAGGAATAGACCAGTGGTTCCCAAACTTATTTGGCCTACCCCCTGGAAATCAATTTTTCGAAATCTTCTCTTCTTTCGTTTATGCTTTCACCGTCCCCTTACAGTTATTCATCGCCCCCAAATGTACCTGTGGCCATTACGCCCCCCTCCCCGGATAACTCCAGTGCCCACCAGGGGGCGGTAACGCCCACTTTGGGAATCACTGGAGTAGACTGTCAAGCACAGCAGCCCCACTGCTGATGAGACTTGGCTGGCACTGGAAGGGAGGCTGTGAGGATAGATTGACTGCTCAGCAACCCTTCAAAATCAGGAACTAGGTCTGGTGGAAGATGCCGCATCATCAAGCTTTCTATCCTTGCTCCACCTGAAGTGTCACTTCCCACCTCACAGGGCC